GTCCGGGTGCTCCTGGTGATCCTGCTCGTGTGGCTGGCGGCACCGTCCCTCGCCGTGGTGGTGGCGGCAGTGGCGCATCCCTGCAGGCGCCCGCAGCCCTCGCTCTGTCTCCTGCAGCCCTCTTCACCGAGACCCCCCACGACATGACAGCCCAGGCAGGTGAGGATGTGGAGATGGCGTGCTCCTTCCGAGGCAGCGGCTCCCCCTCCTACTCCCTTGAGATACAGTGGTGGTATGTCCGCAACCACAAGGACTGGATGGACAAACAGACGTGGGCTTCCAACCAGGTAACACCCCTCATTCTCCCCCTCTGGCAGCGTGCTGCTGGGTGCAGCGCCGCCAGGCAGAGCCCTTCCCCATGCTTGCCCGGGGGGTTCGCTTGCAGCAGCTGTTGGGGCTCAGGGGGGACCCTATCCCTGGATGGACAAACAGACGTGGGCTTCCAACCAGGTAACACCCCTCATTCTCCCCCTCTGGCAGCGTGCTGCTGGGTGCAGCGCCGCCAGGCAGAGCCCTTCCCCATGCTTGCCCGGGGGGTTCGCTTGCAGCAGCTGTTGGGGCTCAGGGGGGACCCTATCCTGCAGCAGTGTCCCCAGCGCTCACCCAACTTGCAAACAGCGGGGTCTCGCCCCACTCCGCTTTGTGCTCATGGGCAGAGAGGAGCCTGGGGGTCCCACAGTGCAGGACCATGCATGGGGTGCGCGGCATCTGGCTGCACCGAGGATGCTCCAGCATGTGGGGCCGGTGAGGCCGGGCTGTCCTGGTCGCCCTTCCCAATTAGCTGAGGGGCCACGTGGCCCATCCCCTGGGACTGAGCCCAGGCAGAAGCTTTGTCTTTGTGCTTGTGCCTTCTCCCATCTCATCACGAACTCATCCCCTTGCATCCATCCCCGCGTCCTCTGCCCCCCCCGGCCCTCCCTTGTTTTCCCCATTTCCGTGTGTATCAGTCTCAGCAAACAGCTGTCTCTTTATTTCTCTTTCTGTTCACACAGAGATAAGGGCCAAATAATGGGAAGGCAGCTTTAGGTATTTTAATGAGCCTTTATTATTGTGTCTTTGGCAGAGCTGCTACTGGTATTACCATAAATTGAGAGAAGCATCGGGGAAGTGCTGCCGCTCAGGAGCACTGCTGGGGGGCCAGGGGGGCTGCGGGGGTAGGAGACCCAGGGTGCTGCCCGTCTCTCTAGCTGATTCGGGAATATTTATGGTAATTGGGGCAGGTGCTTGCTGTGAAGGGGCCGGGGTTGCTGGGGACAGGAATCACTGCTGCAGTGGCGATGCTGCGGTGAACAGGTCTCCACCCCCAGCCCCGGGTCGCAGGGAGCACCCGCTGACAGAGCTGAGCTGTGGCGGGGACCCGCGGGGGGGGACCCCCCCCTGCTGCTGTTCCCTCCCCTTCCCAGCTGCCCTGCGTGGCTCCCATCTGCCCTGGGTGCCTGGGTTTGCTGGGGCTGAGCAGCCCCCTTCTCCCTCCTCCTCCTCGCTCAGGGCAGCCTTCCTGGGGGTGGGCAGGGGTCCGGTGGGCTCCTGCCTCCTCCCGGCTGAGCTGATGGTTTCTCTTCCCTCTCTGGTCTCTCTCCCCATCCCGCTCTTCCCAACAGCTGAAAGCATCGCTGCAGGAGGAGCCTGGGAAGGACGCAACAAAAATAAGCGTGAGTTTGGCTAATGCTTCTTGCAGGGGCTCCGGTCGAGGGCTCGGCTGGAACATTTCCCTGTGATGCTGACACTCAGTGTTGCACAGAGCTCGGGGAGGGGGGGGGAGGTCTCCTGGGGTTTGTGTCTCTGTGCAAGACCGGGTGCCCTGGACGAGGCATCTCAGGAGGCGGGGGGCGGTGTGCTCGTCCCACCGGTGCTGCCGTGTTGCGGGCTGGCGATGCTGGCGTGGGTGGGCTGGATCCGCCCCAGCCTCAGCGTGGGGAGCAGCCAGGGTGAGGGGTGGCTCCCCTGTCGCCCCCCCCCAGCTGAGGGTCGCAGCCTGGACCGTGAGCCCTGTCCGGCTCCTGTCGGCATCTGAGGGACACGTTTACGCTAAAGAGAAAATAATCTAATTTACTCACCGGATTAGCATCCCAAAGCCATTTAGGCTCATGTGAACAGAATGAGGAGACACTAATCAGTTAAATAAAATAAATGCTCTTGGCCTCCCGCTGTCGGGCGCGTGCCCCCCCCGCTGCCGCTGGCCCTCCTCACCTTGGGGGACTCTGCATTTGGGGGTGCCACAGAAATGGAGCAATATTGGAAAGTGCTTCCCACCGTTGCCCCTGCCCTGGCAGCCTCTTCTGGCTCTTCCGTTTTTCCCTCGCTGAGTGAGTGAGGGGGGACGGGGCTCGCCACGCACCCACGGCTCCCCAGGGCCAAGGGTCGCCCGTGCCCAGGATCGGTCCCTCTGCCCAGCTCTCATCCCCGGGGGATGACAGAGTGCTGCGGCAGGTGAAATGCCAAAAAGCTTCACAATGGAGGGCATCGCCTCTCATCTCCCATCTGTGGGGATCAGCGCGTGTAGATTCTCTTGCTGGTAATGAATCCCCCCCGGGGACCGTATCCCCTTTGATCTATTTGCATCGTGGCTCCCCAAGGTTTCAGCCCCGTTTGCCACCATTCCAGTGATGGGCACCACGATGTGCCCACAATCCACGTCCAAACCCCAGCAGGTGCCTTCAGGATCTGTCTCTCGCTGGGGTGCTGCGGCTCGCCGCCCCACAAGCAGCGAAGCGCTGGGACTGCTGCTGGAGCAGCCAGAGCCCGGGCGCTCCCAGCCCCTGGGGACGGTCTTGCCCACCGCGGGCAGCAGGAGCTGGCAAGAAGCTTTGCAAAACACTGCTTGCACGGCTCGGGAGTGCTGCTGGACCCCCCCTGTGCCACCCGAGCCCTGCCCCCAGGGCACAGCGCTTTGCTCCCCGCGGTGAGGATGTCGGGGTCCTGGTGCCCAATGCTGACTGGGGGCTGCAGGCAGTTTGCGGCTGGGGGCCGAATCCTGCGCCGGGCAGGGACGCGTGGCTGGGAGCTGTTGCCGTGTTAGAGCCAAGGGAACGCAGGTCCTGCGGCACGGCCAGCGCAGCCACATGGAGCCCGGGGCGGCAGGAGGAGCTGAAGCAGGTGCCGGGGCTGTGGAGCCGTTCCCAGGGCCAGTGCTCCTGCTCCGCTCAGCCATGGCATTTTTCAGCATAATTAGGCAGTTAATTGCAGGCCAGAATGTAATCGATGTATGTGCATGTGTAACCAGGATTTATTTTGAAGCGCTTGGGGTGCGACGCTTCTGCCGTCTCCTCCAGATCAAGCCAGCAGGGAGAGGCTTGAGTTTTAAATCTTTTATTTTTTGTTATTTTAAATGTCCTTGATTATTAAGTGTTTACGGAATGGAGGAGATAAATGAACACGGGCAAGACACCACCACGAGCGGTTCTGATAAAATGTGCGTTACAGCCACAGCAGCAATTGACTGAGAACAAACGGCAGTGTCAAACAATGCGAGACGATGTAAATCATACACAGAAACCACTGCGTCAGGAACCCCCTTGGCCATTTTTTTTCCACCAAAACACACTTGGTGCTGGAGGCCCCGGCGCCGACTGCCCAGAGCCACCTGCGCTTTGCGGAGATGTGGAGAGGGAAACCGCTGGCGCCCTTTGCTGTGCGGTAGCAAATACGACGGGTCTGCATTTATTTTTTCCCTCCTCGAATTCTTTAAACCCACTGTTTTGCCGCCAAGCAGCGGCGCGTTGCAGTGCCGAGCTGGGGCTGGGCACCGCCGCGGCCGTCTGTCCGTCCTGGCCCGTGCGAGGGTCTCTCCCCCGGTGTCTGCGGGGCAGTGCGGGTTGTCACTGCCCTGCCCGAGCCTGTGAAGCCGTGAGCGTTATGACCGATCAT